AACCACTACAAGGAGTTTGGGATAATTATCCAGACTGGTTGACAACTAATGAGGAACAATACAGATCTCATTAAGCATTTTATTGAAGGTTTTCATACAGCTTAGAGCCCCAATGTCTGTAATTAAAGTATTTTCTGTCAGAACTATATGACTGAATTATAGTTATTTTATCATTTACATTTTAATCATAATATCAATAATTATAAAAATGTTGTCAAGCAGATAACAGCAAAAAGTAACTGAAGAGTTGAATTAACTGTGTATTTATAACACATAAGCTAAAATAAAAATAAAACTAGACTAGCCAAACATAAAAACAATCTCAACACATCTTCAGAAAAGGCCTTATAGAAAATATCATTAATTCTTTGATCACCAAAATTAAACACTATTACATCTGATTCTGTTAATCATAAAATGATTTTTATATAAAATACAATTTATAATATCTGCTTTAAAGTAAACCCATTGAACTTCTCATAAATCATAATCTCAATTTTCCAATGGAAGCAGTTGTTCTGCTTTAGTTTAAGCTCTTATTTTATCTTGACACTTCAGATAAATTCACCTATTTTTTTCCTTTTCAAGTATACAGTCTGTTGTTGAAGTGCTGTTTTTTCCAAATCAACCAACTACTACAATCAAATTGTACATTTATAGAACTACAAAACAACTCAGAGAAACTATTTAAAATTTTTACCACTTTCCACCTGATATAGAGCTTCATGCTTCTAAGATATTTATTGATAGAAAAAAATAGCATAATTCAAATTGGTATGCTTTGATTGAATTGTATTCTTGTCCTCAATTACTAAGATTCCTCCTAAAAACAGCACCATTTAATACTTCAAACATTTCAGGTATAATTTTTAGACATTTTTTTTATTTTGTTTCTATTAAACAAAAAGTATTTCTTTTTAATCACTAAGTGTATCAGATTACAAAGCCTTCTAATCAATTTCTATATAATAAAATATGGATAAGCAAACCAAGAAATCCTTCAAAAGGAAAACAACTACCTTTCATATTATTAAGGCTGATTGTCAAAGTAAATTTTGAAACTTAGTGAGGCTGTTGCATCTGAAGGAAGATTCAGCACAAGACAAAACCTTTTTACTTTACAATTTGAATGATTGTTTAACAGTTTATACTCTTTTAGTTGTTAAGAGACACAAAGACTACACAGAATTATCTCCCCTAAGCATGAAAAGTGAAAAGAGAAGAATTTACTCCTTTTGACTGAATAAAGGGTTTTAGTTCAAAATTCCAAAAAGCATACCAAGTATGATTGACACCTGAAGATGGCCATTGAGTACAACAGGTGAAATATTGTGAGTATAACAATAAAAATAGAAACATTTAATACTGATAATTCTTCATTTAAAAAAACTCCAGTATAAATTAAGAAATAATGTCAGAGAAAGCACCAGCTGTTGCTCCATAAATTGTGCTTACATTTAGATTGCAACAAAAATCTTCCTTGATAAAACAGATTTGAAAGAGCTGGGAGTATTGTGTCTACTCATGGGTGAATGTGTCTCAGCCCAAGAGAAAGACAAGCAAGCAAGGTTGCTAGAAATCATTCTATTATATCCTATCTTTTTTAGCAATTTACAATTGGACCTATTGTCCTCATATTTGCTGTTGTTATTAGGTTAAGTCTGACGGGCACAACAGCCGAAACTTTTTGATAACAAATATTAAGATAATAATCTGAATATAAATATCGATAACTCTTTATCCCAGAAATTCAGAAAGAAATTATCTTCATAGCTATATAAAATAAATTTTCTAAATATTCCTTTATAACAGATACTGTACACCATCAAATACACTTGCTAAGATCAGTTATAAGTAATAATTTGAAGAACATTTTTCCAACACAAATAGCAAGAGGAGTTTATTCCAGATCATTTTCATCAAATAACTTCATTAGGTCTTTAAGAACAAAAGTAAAACTATCAAAATATGCCAGTTCTGTTAACACTTTATTCATTTATGTTGAATATATTATTAAACACAACTCGAGAAAATAGGTAACCGTTTCCTAAATATCACAAACAGTAATAATATCTGGATTAGGATTGAACAAGACTTATATATTTCAAGTTCACTAGCACAAAATCTTTCTGTAAAAGAAATTATTTATATAAAAACCATTTAATAAATGAAGAAATGATTAAGGATCAAAAGCTAATTTTGGAATAAGAAAACTTTTTTTTTTCAACAAAAAATATCTTTTTAAGCTAGGCATTTTAAGAAGAATATGTTAGGAAAATGGCTGACTGAAAATATATTTTTTGTGCAATACTTTAAGTGAGAATTAAAAAAAGTTACCTTTCCTTGTTTATTTACTTCCTATCATATAGAATTAAAACTATTTGGGGAGAATACATTGTTTTTTGGCAGAAACTTTAAGTTTTGCTTACAAGTCTTGATTGTATGTTCTTGTAATTCAACAACAGAAATGCTACCAAATTAAAAAGGCAATCATAATACAGGTGGTTTCCTCATAACATTGTTGTGGTGTCATACCAAGTAATTCCCCTTCATGATATTTGTAAGAGCAAACTCATCTCCAGTAGGTTACATGGTACCATCGGCAAGAAAGGATTCCTAGTTTGATCTAAAAAAATTAACTTGTTGACAGCATTAACAGTCAATGGATAATTCTTAATTGTATATATTATTCTGGGTTTCTGTCAAGTGTCAAGAGACATTTATTTAAACAAAGAGAATATTTCCAGTGCAACATAAAATAAATTTGTTTCCAAAATCTCTCTGAAAAGGAATTGTTTTCTCATTTTTTATTTGCTCTTAGAAAATAAAATAATGAATTTAAAGAACAGATTTTCAGTCACAATTGCAAAAAAAAAAAAAAAAAAAAAAAAAATCTAAACTACTTCAAGCATTTCAAACACCAGGACAATACAAAACAAAGACATTACAATTTTAATACTACTACTACAAATTGAGCACATGACAGAAAAATTAACTGTAGAAAAGTAAATAGAGACGTTTTTAAATTCAGTCAACATGAAATACATTTAAAAAACAACCTGGTATTGTGAATATTTAATAATGTAATTAATAACTAGTTAAAAGGTCCAACTTTTATAGTCACATATTTTCTTCTTGTAAATAGTAATATATTTTTCTGTTCAACAGAATGTTAGTGCTATAAATTGTTAAAATAAATAAATGTTTTTAACCTGGATTTGGACAATTAAAAAACTGAAAAGGAATGCGTCCCCTTGTTTTTTAAATTTTACCTGTTATTATTTATTTTTATTTTTTTATCATTTAAGAAATTCTAGAAATTAGACAGAAACTAACGAACCTGAATAATGTGCTGGAGTGTAAAAAAAAATGCAAGTCATTTTTCAAGTCAGGATAAAAAAGGTTATTAAACGGATTTTAAAGTCAACTATACATTGTGTACAAGTACAAGCTCTTAAAACTATCAAATCATTCAAATCAAATGACACTTTTCAAATGCTGTCGTTTTTAGAAGAAAACTAAAAGTGAGAACTTTTCACTTTTAATTTTCTTGTAGTCATTAATAAAACAATTTCTATTCATTTTCGTTATTTGAAGAATTTAAAACTTTCTATTTGTTTCTCAAAAATAATGCATCTGAAAGTTGTTTTTCAGTTGTGAATCATTTAAGCTAAAAAGAATGAAATTATTCAACTAAGTCGTTACGTAAACTTTGACCACAAAACAAAGTAGAAAATTGTTCATGTTTCTAAAGTACATATAAATAAAATTAAAACGGTAAATTTTCTTAAGTCACTGCAAATGATTTCCAGGTCAATTTGAATTCTCACAAATGACAACAAATATATAACCTTGTGCCAGAGTCCATCTATTGAACTAAGAAACTATTGATCATCCCTTTGAAAATCATTCAGGAAGATAAAAATGTTCTATGCTTACATCCAAATTTAAAAAGATTTTTTTAGAGGAGGGATCAAATAAAGGAAGGGGTTGGGTGATTATGCAAAAAAAATTCTACATAGGCATTTTGTTTTTTACTCCGAAATAAAAAAAAAAAAGAAAAGAAAAAGATGCCGCTTGAACCTAGAGAAGGTGCGATGAAAGTTAGTAACTTTTCAAACATCAACATCATGAAATAATCGGCAAATTATTTTCAGTAATTCACTATTCACCTGTAAGCCTTATTTATCTCTTCTCAAATATAGGAATTAAAAAAAAAAACTGTCAAAAATTCGAAGGAACCGTTTTGATTTTGGAGTATTCTTAATTATCAAGAAAAAAATACCAACAAGTTATCATCGCCCCAAAAGCAAATTTGTTTTCCAATTGAAAAAGATTTTTCAAAATCACATTTTTATGTCAGAACAAGAAATGAGAAAAACATAAATTAAGGGTTGAGCTTGAACATGAGATCCTTCTCTTTTTGAGTGAGAAAAAAAAACATTTGCCTCGAATGTCACCATTCCGATTGATTAGATTTCAATTTAAGAAACAAAAAGAAGCGTGTAGGAATTCAAAAATAAGAAATTCAATTTTCTTTCTTTTTTTTTTTGTTTCTTCGTTAGTCATTTTAAAAGCCGAATTATTATTTTTGATTCTTTTTCTTCCAGTTCCTCCTAAAAAGCAAAAGAAATCAAAAACACGATCGAGAAAGAAATTGATTTGCATCAATGCAATGTTTATGGGTTTGTCAGTTTTCATTGGATTGCAACCAAAAAGAAAAATTGCTATATAAAAACAAAATGCTAATTCTAATTTAATCAATAGAACCATTTTCATTTTTACAGTCACTCAATAAAACATATCAGTTTCTTGTGCAAACTGAAAAAGAAAAATTTACCTGTCGAAGAAATACCAATTGTCTACAACAAAATGACAATAAAACTAACAATACATCAAATCGTCAACAACCAAAACGGGTAAATTGATCAAACATTAAGCAAATCGTCAACAACCAAAACGGGTAAATTGATCAAACATTAAGATTTTAAAAAGGATACAATAATACAATTTTCATCCTCGGCAAGTTTACTTTTGACTAAAGGGATAGCCTCCATGTTGACGTCAAGATTTTTATGGTCTTTTTAGGGGTCCGGCAACCCCACTCCTTAAAGAATCCGTGGATCCTTGATAAATTCCAATAGGCAACGCCCAACTCAAATGCAGCAGGTAAAAAATATCACAATTATGATGAGGATCTAATTCCGCCTGTTATTCATTTTTTACAATTTCTCTTTTTTAAAACTGTAGGAATAAAATAATTATTTTAGAAGTAAATTTGGTTAGAAAGGTGCCAACTGTTGTCACATTTTTTTGCTTTGCAACAGCTATTGTCTTAAAACAAAATTTAAAATCATTCAGTATTTGTAATTAAGTTGTTCTTTACTTTACTTTATCAATAAAGACTTACGCTTTAACAACAAATACAGCGAAATCAAACGATTTTTCCCCTCGAAGGTTTTTTTTTTTTCCAAGTCGTCAGTTACACAACTGAAGCAATATAATGGTTGATCAAAATATACAATATACGTCGATATGAGAGAAATATATTCGCAGATCAAGACCCAATAATAAGAAATAGTTGGGACAAAAGTGCATAAAATTTCAAAATTGGTAACACTGGTTTCTCTTCGTTAAATTTAAAATAAATGTTTCATTTTTTTTTTATCGCAAAATCACATTGTAATTAATAGAACACTCTCAAATATTTATGCCAACAGAAATAAGATTGTAAATGAAAATAATTTCAAATCAATAGTATAAATTTAAAATTTGAAGAGAGAAGCGGAAGCCTAATTACTTTTTTTCATTATTTTTACAATTCTTTTCTCAATTTGTTTATTTATAAATATTATATGAGTGAATTAAAGATAGTTGTTCTTAGATCCATTTTTAAACAAAAATGTGGCCGTCCTAAGGCAAATAAATAAGAAAAAAAAAAACAAACGTATGACCAGTCTCATTGATGTCAATCGGCCAAACGGAAGAAAATAGTAAGAAAAAGACTGAGGCCACTTTAATTACGCGATAAGAGGACAGTTGGAAAAGAAAAAAGAGACAGAAACGTAATACGTCCAGTGGCTTTTAGTGTTGCCAACGTTATTAACAACAATAAAGGTCTCTATGTCCGATAGATCCACATTCAAAACAGATGATAGCAATACGGGACTAACCGTAGAATATTCCATTGATCCTTCTTTACTTACGTAAAGTAAAAGCAGAGGCAGACCTGAACAGCCGCCATTGCTGCACGAATAGTCAGCAACAATAATATAGACCTCGCTTCGTATTTTGCTATCGGTTGAAAAATTAGTGGCCACTCCTTTCCTTTCTTTATGAATGAAATCTTCTGAAATAAAAATCTAATTTTTCTAATAAAAACTTAACTGTTCATAACAACGATGCTGTTAAATAATCATATGCTGTACAATACCACAAAGAAAGTCTAAGTGCTACATTGCAAGATTAAATTTTAAACAGAAGTTCATAATAGAAGTAACTATTTTTATTGCAACAAATTAATGGAATTGTTTTTCCGGCACACTATTTAAATTAATTAAAAAAAAATAATTTAAAAGGTACAAAAAAACGTTAAGATTTTATATTTTAAATGACGTTTTTTAGTAAATAGACAAATCCGATATTTTTTTTAAAAAATGTATGTATGACATTTTAGTTTTTATAGTAAAACTCGATCGGTTAAAAAAATAAAAATATACTTCATTCGTTTATGAATCTACCAAGATCTTTTCGGAGTGCTAGTGAAAAGTTATTGGCATAAGCAAGAAGGGAATCTCTGAAAGAAATTCTTCTTTTCTTTTTCTTTTTTTTTAAAGTCAAATTTATATTTATTTTATTTGAAAAGCAGGTCCGGTCAAGAACTTTTTAGTAACATCTCGTTTAACTGTCATATAAACAAATGAATTCCAAATGAAAATTTCGAAATATTGTAGCCAAGCAAACTCATGTGCAACTTAATACGAAACTAAGTGCTGTCTGCTCGCGGAGCTAACTCGGTTACCACGGCAACGATAGTAAATTGGTGATGCTCCTTTCAGATTTTAAATCCGACTCCTTTGTCTTTTCATGGAATCAACGATAAAATTATTTTCCTTTATGAGATTATCACTCGATTTTCTTTTGCTATTATTTTAAAGTACTACAATCACACTTAAAAATTAAGGGAAAAAAATTTCCCTCTTTGTATTGTTCATCGTAGGAGGGGAAAATAAGCTGCTCATGTCAGTTCTGAAGTGGAACATATTTTATCAGGACAGGTGAGTAAACCCATGGACAATAACTTTTATGGTGTTCTTTAAAATTTTTTTTTTTTTCAGTAAGAATGTAAAACCAACTACTGAAGATTTAGTTTTGTTGCAATTGTCGTATAATTTACTAAACTTAAAATTATTTAATTAATATTCAAACAAAATGCTTTTACCTGATATATAATAAATTTTATTAAAAATATTTTATTTAAATAATTTAAAAAATGTCACTCCACTTCAACCCACGGCCAGCGATCATTACAAAAAAAGGTGGTTTAAAGATTATAAAAACAACAGATTTCCTTTTCCTTTATTAAATCATTCCCATGATTTATTTACCTTGTGTTTGTGACATGTAAAACTAGTTGCATATGGTACAGAAGTTTGAAAAATGTTTATACATGTGTACAAATTTAAATAAAACTACATAAGTAAGATCATTATAATTTCAAAAAAACAGGACCTTTTTTAATTTTTATTATAGGTTTTTAGTTTTCTTTTCTTGTATGATAGCATTCATGACTCAACACCTCATAAGCTTTAGGGTTGAGACAAGAATAAAAAACAATACTGATAGTTCAAAACGGAAGATAAGTAAATCTCTGCAATAAGCAAATTTACATATATACTAACTAAATGAACCATATAATACTTGTGTTTGTGCGAGCATTTCTTTTAAAAGAGAAAAAAAACTTCTCCAGTTAATTTGTGAAATGTAGTTTTGTCACAGATTTATCTACAACTTTACAATAAATGAGAGTTGAAAGTTTTAATAATTGATTTTTAATTCCTGAATAGTGTTATTTAGCTTATGAATTAAAGACAAAAGTCCAAACTGTAGTAATAATTGTTATTTTAATTGCACTCTGTATATTTGAGAAGCTCCACAAGGTTGATGTAAACATTTATAATCAACAAATTTATAGATTTTATTTTTATTTATGTGTTCATTGTACACTCTGAACATGAGTTGTTGCTTTACCCTAAAATTAATCATGCAAAAATAATGTTTTTCAAATGTCTCTGACTTTGAAAACATGCTGGAACCTGCTATTACCCTTTGCAGCCTAGAAAAAACAAAAATTGGATCAAAGTAAAATGTTTGATACATTAAAGTAATTTGTGGGGATAGCTACAAAACATAAAAATATTTTTAAAAAATACTTGGAAATTCTTTTTTATGTTTCATATTCTAGATTAATTCAATTCAACACAAAGTCAGATGTAGGGAATGAAGATTGCGTTGTGTCATTCCTTCTGGCTTTTACTGAAGAACCCCTGGTGTTTGTGAAAAACATCACCTCTATCCAATCCAAAAAAATCCTGTGTTCCATATTATAAAAGAAATCTGTACTGTCAACCTTAAAACATGAATCAAAAATAAATTTAGTTAAGTTTTTTTAATGCTGTAACACTATTTGGGTTGCTGGTAATTAATAATAATAATAATGACTTGCAACAAAAATGAGATATTGATGAATAAACTAGCATGAAAAGTGTTAAAAAATATCAAGAATGATAGACTGATAATAATTGGTTCCCAGAGAATTGAGATTTGTACAATGAACCAGGAGGCCAGCTGGGAGCAATACTTGGTTTGTACGAACAGGCCAAGTGTTGACAATCTTCAGCAAACAATGCCTGAGAGATCACCATGAGGAGAATTAGGTTAAATGGCAATTACAAATGAAATCATTTTACAGAGATGTCAGGATGGAAAATAATAGATTGAACACCTGCAGAATGCTGACCTTCAGCTGAACGAATTATCACCATAATGTGAGTTGCAAAATTTTCCCTGGGAAAGCGCCTCTTGGGTCAAAGGCAAGAAAGCCAATTGTTATGTCAATTCATTTATGAGATGATAGCATTTAGAACCATAATTTATTTTTTAAATAGTCTTCGACCGAATGCTGGAGATGACAGGTGCAGAAGAATAATCATGGAAGGAGGAGGGGCGGTCTGCACACACTGAAGGGTATCAGCCACTGACGAGACATTAAGGAGGTTGAAGGAGCTGCCCCACATCCACCGGAAAGCGCTGGTGGGAGATGGTAATAAGAGAAAGTAGAAGTAACCAGGCAAAATGATGTCTGCATCCATCTCCTATGAGAGAAGGAGAATTCCCCAAAATTATGAAGTAATTTAATTTCTCAGGAGTAAAAACAGTGGATATGACAGGTGGATGAAATGCCAATTCCCCCCTACCAACTACATCTCACCCCTACACCAGTTTTGTTTTGGCAGACACTATGGACTCTGTTGGAAATCAGGGGATTCACCAAAACACAACCTTCATCTTGCCCCACACTGGTTTTTAATTGTTCATAAATATGAATGTGCAGAAACGAATTCAGACAGTTGACAGTTGAGAAGAGACAGAATGGTATGAACCATTGTATGCAGTATTCAATATAAAAATAGTAAATATTTTTTATATATATTTCAAGTGCTGTTTTTTCTCCAATTTTACTGTATGACCTGCAATGAATTGATCTTGGCCTCCTTATAATCAATCAATCACAACGTGGGCTAAGGCAGGTCAAGATTGAAGAGATCACTCTATTGATCAAACTAGGATTCACCCTGGGCTGACTATAATGAAGGTGTTACATTTGCTGCCAGTGACCATCAGATTCGCCCTGGGTGACTATGACCAACCCAAGAATACAGTCAACAGAAAGGAGAGAGACAAGAAAGGAGTGCAAACCAATAGACTTTGGTCATTTTGATCATACGGTTCTAATAATACACTCTGAATTTTTTTCTTTCATCTCTTGATAAACTGA